TGGATCTTTACCAAGGTGCTTTGTTAGAAAATGGCTGTCTGGTGTTTTCATATATAAAGCAAAATTATTGATGAATTTTTACTTTTTTTTGTGACCACAGATTCAAATGACTATTAGGCGTCCGCTATTTCTTGGGCATCTTTGTGTATTGATACTCAATTTATCTTTTCTGAGCATTGTGTTAGCATTCTAGGATCTGATGTTTGTATGTTTATAGTTTAGTGCCACTTCTTACCCTGGGGAATTTAAAAACCGTGAGGCTGAAGACCTGCCAGAGATTCTGATTTAATGATACTAGTTGTCACTAAAGTATTTTTTTTTTTTTTAGATCGGGCTGACTTATAACTCTGGAAATAAATGTTCAGTGGTACTTTTTTTTTTTTAGCCTAATGTAGTAGCATTATTTCTGAGACCTACGGCAAATAAAATATTCTACAATTAAGGACCAGATTAGTCTGTGGATATAATGCAAAAGAAAAATACACAGGTTATCTGGTCAGTTTATCTTGGAAGTGTCTTATTTGTTATGTTCTTTCTAAAACCGGGAGAAGTAACCCCACCTCCTGGCAAGAAAACTGGTCAAGGGAGCCCAGACCATTGTCTCAGGGTGGCTGAGGCTGCCAAAGAAAGGAATTCCTGTTCTAAAGAATGTCTCCACTTTTCCTTCTGGAAGCCCTTTCTTTTCTTCCTTGTGGCCCTGTGTCTTTACTGGGCCTGATTTGACTCCTTTAAGTTGTATGTTCTTTGGTTACTTGTTGCCAGATGGGCTTAGAGCAAAGTAGTCTTTCTGCAACGAATTTCCACACTTCCCCGTAACCTCTAACTTACATAGCTCTTGAAAAAAAATGGAGTTAGAAGCCACACAGAGCAGTGCATTTTGGGTGCGTATTTCATTTTGGGTGCGTTCACAGGGCAGAGGCTAGCGTTCAATAGATCTTCTGTAGATCAAGGTGCATGAATTAAAGGGCTGGGATCTCTTAAGCTGTTTGTTGTTGTTGTTTATACTTTATTTATTTTTGAGAGACCGAGAGAGAGAGAACAAGGGGGGGAGGGGCAGAGAAAGCAGGAGACACAGAATCCAAAACAGGCTCAGGCTCGGAACTGTCAGCACAGAGCCCGATGCGGGACTTGAACCCACAAACTGTGAGATCATGACCTGAGTTAAATCGGATGCTTAGTCAATTGAGTCACCCAGGTGCCCCTGTCTTAAGCTGTTTTTATATTCCAGCTTAAGCCAAGAAGAATATGGAAGCAGATGAGGGAAGTCACAGTCAGAGTTGTCCCTGTATGCTTGGGCACTTTAAAATTTTCCAGAAGGAAATTTCCCTCCCCAGCATGGTGATCAGACTCACTTACACACATATTTCTTAGGAATAATAAAATAATTTCAGTTCACTCTGTGAGGGTGTGCGTGCGCACATGTGTGTTTGCATCAGCAGGAACCATTTGAGGTGGCTTCTGTCACATACCCAGCTGTTATGGCTGTTGACCTGGAAACGGCTTGGCCACTTAGTTGTCATCCTGATTCAATGTAGAGTTTAGACTTTGAATGGCATCGACAAGCTTTCATAGTCTTCCCTATATAAAAAGACATTCTTCTGCTTTCTTGTAGCTTCATCTTTGATCTTTCTATTTTTTATCACCATAAATTATTTTTCAACTCCATAAAAAGTTTCCAATTGGAAACACACCCATTCTTCTGTTTATGGAGCTTGTTCCTCACTATCATGCACTGTGTTAACAGAGCTGTACCATGAACCCCATTCAGGTAGGAAAAAGAAGGCAAATGCACAGTTCAACAACCAAAGGTCACATCCTATGTGTTTTGCAAAGCTAAACAAATTTTTGTGGCAGCTTCTTTAAAATGTGTTATCGCTTTGGCCAGTGTTGAATGCCTACTGCATTCTACTGTGCTTCTTTGTACTTAATAATGGTGATTCTACCCTGGGTTTAACCTAGTACTGTTATTTATCAATCTACTTACTTGATGATATAAGACTTGTACTGCTTATGTATGGCTGGCAAACTTGTGCTTCCTTGTTCTTTTTTTCCTGCTGCTTTTGGGGTTTGTTTTGCTTCATTAACTATTTGTGGTTTTGCTCTCAGTTGTGTGTAGCATGCCGTAAAGCTGGACGTCCACAAATGCATGAAATGGTCAAAATGTGCATTACGAAACTCCTCACTGCCCTGTGTCTTCGTGCGTTCCCTGGCTGTCAGGGGCCTGTGGCTTTTCACAAGGTATTTGACTTGGCCCTTTGGCCTCTGACAGCGGCACAGGACTGGGTCTTTTTGAGTGTCAGTTCTGTGCTACGAAAGCAGAGGGCATGGGGAGGTAGAAGTGATGTTGGAGATACTACACGAAGAAATGGATGAATGAGTCCTTTCCCAGAAACTCAGCCTGCCTTTGGACTTGGTATTCTCTTAACTTCTCTGATTCAGTGTGCTCATTTTAGTACTGCCTCAAGGTAGGGCAGAAAAATGTGCACAGAGTAGAAAATCATTGGCCTTGAATACAGTGGTCAGGTTTATCATGGAAACCCTAGTTGAAGAACCTTACTGGTTTGCCAATTTATCATTATCACAGCAAGTGTGAGAAGCTTTTTTTTTTTTTTTTGAAGATGTCAAGATAGCTGATAGAACATTTCCTTCTGTGGACTTAAGGTTAGTGATATTATCAGGTACATGGTCTTTTAATATTTAAAAGGATCCCCATTTATCATAGTATTTATACATCCAACTTTAGCAGAATGAGCTTCTTGGATTAATACGTTTAAAAGCAGAGTATACATGCAATGAGTCATTCCCAGTATTGTACACTTGGTATTAGCAACCAAACGCTAGAAACGGTGGAGACACTAAAACTCAAAGAAACACATTTGGTTTTTAGGAGGTTCTTGTCCGTATCCTGTATCGTTTATTACATAAACCCCATTCCTCATCTGTGCTTTCTCTGGTGAGTCTAAAGTGACTGATATGATTTTTGCAGGGAGATTGTAAGGCTCTCGGTGTTAAAAAGAATTGTGCTTCTCTTGAGCAGGAGTTCAGCTCTCAAAATAGCTACTCTTTTATCGTTAATGCTTCCACAGCTTCAAAATTCCCCTTAAATTTATGTCAGAGCTCAGAGGTCTTAAAGATCAATAGCTATAAAGATTTCTGGGGAGAATGTGGGATTTAAAGAAAACTTAAATTCTGAGGCATGACTCGTACTGCTGTGCCTAATTACAGCACGGAGAATTTGGTTCATCGAAAGGAAACACCCCCCATTTGGATGTATTTGCAAGGTTTGTATGTCGTTTCATTACATGCAAAGTAAAAGCCTTCTGAAATTAAGACACCTTTTTTTTCTAAGTATGTATAACTTGTGCCTTCAAGTACATTATAATCCATGATCATTTGAGAAAATGAACTTAAAATTGACATGCCCTTCAATGGTAATTTGAAGAATAAATATTTTGGAATCTGCTTTTAATTTTTAGCTAAAAATGAATTAATCTGGGCTGAATTCCAAATAAATTTATGAGTTTAATTTTATTTTTCTATAAGTTCATGAGTTTTAAATGCTCACTTGGACTACCAAGCATTTAATAGGAGATAAATTAAACTTTTAGAAAATATTTACTTTTATGTCATTAATTTTACCAGAAAGGTTATGACAGTGAGACACCGGCAGAAAGCTCCAGCTTAAGCAGCAGAGGCAACAAAAGTTAACACTTAGTCTCTCTCTCATCTCACTTATCATCCATCAAATTAAATTTGCCATTTAGGTGAGAACACTTTATTTTCATTGTAGGTAATCTTGGAGCTATTCCTAGAAAAATAATTTAGGTACATTAAATCCCTTCTTCTTTTTGTGGATCTAAATATACTTACTAACTGGAACAGATGGCATACCTTATATAGAGAAAAAAAGGGGGGTATATTTAAAGCACGTGTTTATTGTTATGCCCATTTCTATAGCTTCCGGAAGAATTAGAGGCAATAAAATCTGAAAAGCCACGACATTAAACATCATCATCAAATGAGGGATTTTGGTTTTTCAAATTGGGATTTCTCCATGTTGCAGCCACCAGAGCTTCTTCTCAGGTCCAACTACACATCGAGACTCGCACAAACCAATTGCTTCGCAGATACAGGACAGCGGGTAGGAAGCAGGACACTGGCAGGCATTTCTGTCTCACAGGAGTCCTTGGAACAGTCCAGAGGCTAGTCTGTGCTCTCAGATGTCAGCCTTGGAGCAAGAAGTTGAGAGCCACCTTGATGGGTGCAGTCACATTAGCTTAGGAGACCCCATGTTGCAACTACATGGGAGGCAGAATTTCTGTAACAACCCCATGAGCAGCGCTGGGAAACGTCCCTCAAAGGCCGTGAGCAATGACAGGATTCACCCAGGCAACCCAGACCTGTGACTTTCCACAGGTTTGGAAAGTTCGTCCACAGCTTTCCCTAGTCAGATGCAGCTTAGTCATTAAGAGACACCTTCGCCCCAAGCCATGCTGCCTAGTAACATAGCCAATGGTCCACCTTTATCACGTTTCCAGAAGCACACAGCTAGAGAGTGAATCCAAGATCAAACCTGTTTACAGCACAGGAGAAAGGGATTCACTAACCTGTTCCCCCCACTTCATAACTCGGGAGCTAATACATCCGTTCCTGTTTTGCCACGGAGGGAGCTTTTCCTGATTAATTTCCGGCCATCTGAGTTTGCTCTCATAGCATTATTGGGCATATCTAAAACTCACTAATTTGCATTCTCTTATGATGCTCAGAATAATAAGCTTCTAAGAGTGATAATCCTTAGGAAAATGTTCCTTTTCCTATAGGCTTAAAAACAGATTTTCAGGGATTTCAAATATTTGTAGTACTCATGGATGATTAGTCCTAAATCAGGCTGACTTTCTATTTAAGAAGGATTTAAAATCTTCTCCAGTTAATTCCAAAGCATGTTGGTAATGAACTGTTATCTACAGAGCGTGTATGTTGCTATCTCATTTCTTTACCAGGTGTGCATTGAGACATACATATGTAGCTGTCACCAGCGTAGTATAAACACGGCTGTGCGGGCAACTCTCAGTCAAATGCTGAGTGACTTGACTTTACAGTTACGACAAAGGCAGGAAAATACGGTGAGCAATCTTGCCGGCATCTCTGTGTAACTGCATGCTGTGTCTCCACATCCTAGATGCTCCCTCCCTCACCCCCTGCCGGGGCTGCTTCCTCCTGAAACGGTAGGAGGGGCTTGCTTGGTTTATAAGAACTTCGGTTTATACAAATTAAGATTTTTAAATATATTTTTGCCTGTTTAAAGCTTTGACAGTCGTTTTTCCTTATGGTTTCTACTATTTTTTAGTCAGTCTTTTATAATTCACTTGTCTTTTTAAAACTCAGATTGAAAACTTTTATATAAAAATATTGTTCTGATATATTAAGAAATATCAGGAGTAAATTCAAAATTAGGAGAAGTTAATAGCAGTTAATTCCATGCTTTGAGGTTTGATGTCTGTGTTTCTCTTTGTTAACTAAAAGATTGTGCCCCGGGGTCTTATTTCACCTGCTGCTGCATGGGGTGGGGTCAGGGAGGGAGAGGGATTTGCCTTTGTCTGTCATCAAAGCCAGTTAGAGCTTATTGATCCAAACTTGAACAAACTGTCTAAAATGAGCATTCCCAGGAAAAAATGTAAATGTAACTGGCTTCTCGAATATCCTGTCTTTTGGGAATGTTAATGAAGAGATGATCCCTGTTCAAAATAGGTGTGTGTTTGGTTTTTTTAAACCTGCCTCTGAATAAATCAGGTTAAACATCTTTTAAAATCTGCAAGTATTCTGAAATGAACACTATTATTTTGTGGAACAGGGACTCTTCATGGCAGTCTGAAACGTCTCATGACTTAACTTTACAGAAATTAAGGTCTCACGTTTCACTTAGAATCATTTCTAATTTTTACCTTCAGTTATTTTCTAATTTTTAAAGTTGAGTGGAACCTTACAGCTCATCTAGTCAAATACTTCTGGTCCTCATTTTACAGATGAGGAAGATGAAGCCCAGAGAGGTGAAACTGAAATCTAAAATGAATGAGCTTATCAGTGAAAGAACCAATACCAGACCCCTAGGCTCCTAACTGTGGCTGTGACAGCCAGTGTTGAAAACACAACACTAATATGAAAAAGCAAATACTGATATTTTTGTAATGTTTGCTATGTCCAAAACCTAAGTTTCTACTTAAAAAATTGTTTTATCTTGGGATATTACAATGTTAGCTTACCCTTTGTTAAAAACCACTTCATTTATATTAGGATTTTGAATATGATAATGTGGGAATAGTAGTTTAAAAGAAATTCAAATTATAAATGTAAAACATGCTAAGGGAAAAAAAATTGAAGAAAAAATTGTTAAAAACACATTTTAATAGAAATAAACCTATGATGTTGGGAATCTTAGATTAATCATACAATCATAGTTCATCCTCACTAAATGGCAATGTGATGAAATACTATCATAGCAATGATATCTTAATGTTTTAAGAAGAAGCCTTAAATGAAACTTTGTAGTTTCAAAGTGATTTCGATTATATTCGTTCACTTAATCTTATTTTTATATTTTTTTAGTAGGAGGGTATTTGGCTTCAAGTAAAGTGACTTAGCCTGTTAGCTCATGCTGTTCTTCTGTAAGAATGGTAACAGGTAAAGCTGTAGAGGTCTGGATAAAACTTAGATAGTGGGGTGTCTGGCTGGCTCCATTGATGGAGTATGGGACTCTTGATCACAGGGTTATGAGTTCGAGCCCCATGTTAGGTGTAGAGATTGCTTAAAAATAAACTCTTTAAAAAAAATAAAAACAGGGTTATCTGCCTCTGCCCCTGGTATTATATGTCTAATCAGCCCTCTGATCCTGCTCATCACGGACCATCTGGACTTACCCAATCTGAGGCAAGATCCCAAATGAGGTGGAAAATTGGTGTTTCCTGTTATTTCCTTTTTGTTACTCATGCAGTCCCTGGAGATGTTTCCATGTCCCAGAAAAACAGTTCTCAGGATGCTAATATTTGTAGCATTTGTGATGTCTACTAGAGAGAGACATTGTCAGCTAAGAGTGGTGATTAAAGGGAAGAGGTCTATAGAAATGGTGAGGTTCACTCAAAGTAGAGTTTATGTTCTCCTATGGGACACCTAGCATGACCCATCACAGGAAGACATCATGGACCATGTCAGAATTAGGAAGACTTAAATACAATGGAAAGAAAATAAATTTAGAATCCCAAAAGCATTAGCATGAAATGTACAGTTAACCCTTGAACAACATGGGTTTGAACTGCCTGCGTCTACTAATATACAGATATTGTCATGAGTACAGTACTGTATTTTTCTTCTTTATTATTTTAATAACACTTTTTTCTATCTTTCTCTATTATAGGAATACAGAATATAATACATTTAAGATACAAAATATGTGTTAATTGACTTGTTTTCGTTATTGGTAAGGCTTCTGGTCAACAATAGGCTGTTAGTCATGTTTGGGGAGAGTCAAAGTTACACAGGCATTTTCAGCCATAAGGGGTGATTGGTACTCCCAACCGCCGTATTGTTCAAGGGTCCAACTCCATCTTCAACCTAATGTCTATCCCCACTCCCAGGAAAGATTATGCAGTTTGATTTTGTATCATTAGGATCCCAGAGTTATTATCAGGCTTTGTTAATTGAATTACTTAGATGATGCAAGCCATTGTGAAATTATAAGCTACTAATGTCCAAAAGCAAAAATGCCTCATGTAAATTCTTAGGGGGTAGGTGGTAGTGCTCCTCTTGTCCTTTAAAAATGATTCGGATGCATTTCCTCCAGAAAATGCTATTATACACCTATAGTTAGCCACTCACTGAGCCGTAGACATTGGCATAGCATCTCACAATGAATGTTAATGGAAGCAGCTGAGCTTTCAAACTGAAGAACAAAGAATAGTAAAGACATGTGTCTGAAACAAGTTTAAAAAACAAAACGGTGCCCTGGGATGATTTTCTTGTCTGGTAGTTGAGTTGCCTGAAAATGCTCTCTTCTTTCCCAGTGCTCAGAAGTGGGGAGACTTAAGAGCCTTTCTACACTCCTTTTAGAGGTCACTAAATTCTCTTTGCAATAGGAAGGGAGCCTAATTAATGGTAAACGTCTTTCCCTTCCTGTCCTCCCCTCCCCCAAGTTCTGTCTCTATCCTGATAGTTCTGCACCTGCCTGGCCACAGCCTAGAGGGGCTGGTCTGGTCAGACCGTTGGAAGTTAATATGATCCCTCATCAAATAGGAAGCTGGTGCTTCTGACCAGGAGTCATCTTTGGACCTGTATTTTAAAGTTCAGAAACCTGATCCTTCATTTTACTGTGTTCATTCAGTGCCAATCAAAGCGCAGTCTGTGACCTTGGGACAAACAGTACAAAGGTAACCTGTTTATATAGGTATGGCTCCAAGTCCTAGCTCAGCACCCTGGAATCATAAATAAAGTGCATAAAGGGCTTAAACTTCTGTGAAGACTGTGGACCTTTAAAATGAACTATTTTTGGAACTGATGAGCTCAGTTCCAGACGTCAGAGTCTTCTCACAAATACCATGAGTAATGCTATCAAGTGCATGGAGGGTGCACTTAGGTAAGTCAGTTGAGCCCCAGAGTGTTCAGGGTGACATTATTTCCTAAAATTTTCCAATGCCTAAGAGTCGGGGATTTTCACGCCTGAATCTCCTAATTGTCCTATGTGTGTGTCTCCCTTACCAGATCATTGAAAACCCGGACGCCCCACCGGAATTCAGGAATCAAGGTATTGGATTCGATTTTTGCTAGTTCAATTTAAGAAACGGGGGCCAACTATGTGCTTAGCACTGGGGGTGAAAAGATGAGTGGGAGCTCCCAGGTTAGTTCACCGTCCTCAGAGGTCTGCTTACCTTTGTCTTACTGGTGATTATGTTACTTAATCTTCCTTCTGTCCCTGCCCTCCATGCTAGCTACCCCTATTTCTGTTCCAACTATCCGAAGGGTATTAACTCTTCATATACCTTCCTGTTGGAGGCTAGGTTTTTTGTTGTTGTTGTTGCTGTTCTCCTTGAAGTTAGGTTTATTCATTGTTAAAATGAGAATTGGATAGAGGATTTCAGTGGAAACCTGATTGGCACAGAGCTATTGTACCAGAAGTAAGTTTGTGAAATTCCATTTTTTTTTTTTTTATTAAAAAAAGAACCTCGCAGGAAATCTTCCAGGACAGACAGCTCAGTTTAAATAGCAGGTGAAATCAAGGTGGGGAATTTCCTTCTGACCCAGAGGAAAAGAAAAAACAAAGGCCTACATAAAATTGTCAAGCAGTTTGGTTTTTGTTTTTGTTTTTAGTATTGTTTCCTGGAAGAGGTATGAAATAATTCAAATCATCTTATTAAAAAAATTGAACTAGATTTTATTTCAGATTTTATTCAGTAATTTAAAAACCACTGGGAAATCTGCTTTTCTTCTATAGTTTTGCCTGTTAATAATGAGAAAGGGGAGCAGAGGATGAAAAGGGGAACAAAAGGGACAGAGAGAAGCAGCCAAGTGGCCACAATTAGGAGAAACAGTGAAGGAAAGGAATGAGAAAGATGTCAAGCCATCTCTGAATGCATTGCTTGAGCATGTTGTTTTATTTATTTAGTTTTGTAACGTTTATTTTTTTGAGAGAGAGCATGAGTGGGGGAGGGGCAGAGAGCGAGGAGGCCAGAGGATCGGAAGCAGACTCTGTGCTTGCTGGAGGCCGGCTCCGACAGGTCCAGGGGTCCCTGAAGGATGGACGGTGTCAGCGAAAGAGAAATGAGAGAGCCCCGAGATTCTTTCTGATCACCAGGCAGGCATCTCTGTCCTGTCGGTTTTGGTGTCTTTATTTAAAAGTTCAGCCAACAACATGAGGTCAGAGAAAAGAATTTCTTACAGTGGGAGGCCTTTTATGATATCAATTGCAGAATTATTCCAACCAAGGAAATAACAGAATGTTCTTAGTGAAAAACAGGATAACATACAAGTTAAATTGTATATAGATAAGCTAGGAGTTATTCTGTCTGGCTCTCAAGAGGATAAATGTTTCTGAATTGGTTTATTTGTGGGAACTACCATGGGGGCCCTAAATTGTCAGTCTTTGCACCTGGGTTTATGTTTTAGCTACTCTTATCTATCCTCATCCCAGCTGCCAGTGTAAGGGAGGGGGTTTGTGGAATGCAGGCCTTGAGGAAGGGACTGCCATGCTTCACCAATTAGCAAAGATATATGTAGTAGCTGTGTTCTGCTCTTAACCCCAAAATAGGCTCTTTGTCTCGGAGCCAGGCTCAATTGTAACTCTTGTGTTCTAAATTATCTAAGCCTTGGGTCTGCAAGGCTCATAGGAAGAGCCTTTTGACAATCGCCCATAGAGCTTTCATCTAAAGTCTCTTTTGTAAAGGCAGGAATATGCTTTTCCTCATGAGGTATCTGTATTCAGAATATGGGTCTGATATGGAATATTGGGAGGCCTGGTCAATACCAGCAGGCTCATTTCCAACACGAGCCAGTAGTAGCAGAAAGAGATACCAGTTTTCGTTTCTCATGGCAGAAGCTGCAAACATTGCCACTTCCTTGCTGTGACTGCCATCCAGAGAGGCCGGTGCGGCTCCTGGCATGTGCTGACATCAGAGAGCCCAATGCCGGGCACAAATGACCTGAGCTGAAGTAGGACGCTCACCTGAATGGGCCACGCATGCCCTGAGCGTGTTGTTTTAATTGCCCCTTGCTCTGCTCTTAGGCTGCAGACCCACTGGCATGTGCTCCAGCATCTTTTCAAGCTCCCAGTGACATGCTCCACCCATCTTTCCTCTCTCTGGGCAACTGCAGCTCCCATACAATCTTCGCTTTGGTTTTGTAAGCCAAAAAGAGAGGTTCAAGTCCTCTTGGTCAAAGATAGATCTTTAAAAACACATACCAGTTAAAAGTGAATGGACACACTGAAATTTACCTAAAACTGAGCTTTAGGACTACTTACGGTTTTATTTATTTGTAACTGTGTCTTATTACTGTATGATTTCTCAAGGTTTTTTCTTTCTGCGTTGAAGATCACGAATTCTGAGAATTAGCCATTTCTCTTTCACATCCTCCTCCAACTTTTTCTCTCTTACGCTCCTGCCATTTTTCTCCATTTTCCTTGACCTCATGATCATCTTTTCATCTATACATTGATCAAATTCTTAGCCACATTTATATATATCTTTAAAGGTACTTGTTATAAGAAAAGCAAATGCTTCTACTTATAATTTCACTTGGCCCAACAATTCTGTGAGATTGCGATTATTTGTTCCCATTCTGCCATGGAGAAAACTGAAGCTTACCGAAGCCCATGCAGTCAGCAAGTTGTGGACCAGTACTTCAACAGATTCTAAATGTCAGCCTCTTTCCAGTACAATAGGTGCTTCCGTGGGAGTTTGTTGCTAGTTTCTGGACATGAATATGTCTGGAGGGAAAATTATGTTTTCTGACATTGGTTGCTCCATTAAAAACCATGTGCCCCAAGGATGCTGGGCAGACAGTAAAAGTAGTGAAGATGGTGACTAAGTTATTTTGCAATCTTTCCCTCGTTCCTTAGTTTGAAAAGGCCATCTTTCTTCCAAGCTGCCACATTTATCTTTTTGCTACAACTCAAATCTACTCAAATGACCCAGAAATTCCAAAGGTCAGAATAAGGGCTACGTGGGTAGTCTGCTGGCCTAAATATTGAGAAAATGGTTGTGAATTGTGTTGTTTCTGAATCAAAGCTTCTTTTGTTAAGTATGAATGAGTTTTATTTATAAGACCAACCTATCATTTTCTTAACTGTATTTTTAGCATTTTACTTTAGAAATGAATAATTAAATTTGCTATGATGATTTTGGTGACCTAAGGAAGGCTCAGTATCTGCAAACGACCTCTTTAGTCCCGAACACATCAAAAGCAGAGGATGGGAAGGACTGTTGAGGAAGCTTCTAGTGCCCTTTGCCCATGTCTAACCTCTTGTAACCTCTTCTGTTTGAAGGGTCAACAGTTGAGTCCCTTTGTGATGACCTTGTCTCTGTGCTTACCGTTCTGTGTGAGAAGCTACAAGCCGCCATCAAGTAAGTGCCTTCAACATTGGTGTTCTTACTTATCAGCGGTCCATTTCTGACGTAACTTTTGTCTACAGCATCCCTTCAAATTGCAGATCATAGGGACAATGGTCCCCCCCTCATTGGTATTCACCTGTCATTCCTGAGAAATATATTCAGTGACTTTGGACAAGCCCATATTACCAAGCACCATGAATGAAGGATATAATTTTCTCATAAGAAATGGGAAAACTGTAGCTGGCAAAGAATTAATCTTTAATCCCTCCAGCATTGAGCTAAGTGCGAAGAATGTTGGCTAAGAAGTAGTTGATATGACAAAGCTAGTTGATGTAACCCGGTGGTGTGACTCTAAATGAGTCTTCTCATTAACCTGCACTACGCTTTTCTCCTCTATTAAATGGGAAGGACGCACTGTATGGTCTTTCTGTATTCTAACATTTCCTGAGCCTGTGTGCTCACCTGCAGATCTCTGAAAAGAACACATTGTTCTCATTTTTTTTTTTGTGTGTGCCATTTAATATTGGTATTAGATCATATAGATGATGTCCACTGCTCTAACTCTCTGGGCAGTAGGTTAATAAGTTAACTTATACATCTGTAGTGAAGCCAAATTTTAAAAGGACTGGACTTTCCAAAATGAGATGAAAAGGCTCTACCAGTTACATATATAGTGAATTGCAAAATTCTACAACACAATGAGATTCTGAAATGCCCTTTGAGTTACAAAAGACACTTTCATTGACTAAGAACTAGAATACTTGATAATCCAAAGAACTTTTACTTAAAGAATTTTATATATAGTAAGAAGTTGGGAGACATAGTCTAGTTGAAACATTAATGAGGTCTCTCACTTTACTGGAACAACTTCCAGAAATTTGTTGGGGTATTTTTGGTTTTTGCTTTTTTTTTTTTTTTTTTTAATAAACTCAGGGTTTTTAAAAGCTAAGCTTAGAATGACTCTTGAAAGTCTTTGCCTAGTGGTTTCTACATCAGTGTATCCATTGTCCCTCTAGGTCACCTGCACCTGCACGTTTTTTAATGTTAATTTATTTTTGAGAGAGGGAGTGGGAACAGGATCTGAAGCAGGCTCTTTGCGGACAGCAGAGAGCCTAATTCAATGAATGGCTTGAAGTCACGAATTGCAAGATCATGACCTGAGCCAAAGTCAGATGCTTAACTGACTGAGCCACCCAGGTGCCCCTGCACCTACACCTTTTGACCAAATTAAGCTCTCTTTATGTTAGGCACATAAACAATGAAGAAACCTATTTAATCCATAGGTAGGACAAGCCAGAAAGCAAAGCACTTCTTCCACAGCCCTGCCCTTAAGTTTCTCTCACCCTGGATTCTAGGCAGCACATTATTTTCCCTCAGAAGGGATGTGTCTGCTAACAGCAGATGGCATGTGGTAGATGGCTTCTCCCATACTCTGTCCCCATCTTTCCTGACCACAGAGAGTTGGGGCAGGAGGCCTGAGACTCAGATAGCTATCCTAACCTAAAGGCTCTAACACCAACTACAGTGACCCCGGTAAAGTCCCCATGTGACCTGATTACCTTGGGACAGTTCCAAGTTACACCTGTTCTTTATGATCGTAATCACCCTCCTTCGTTCTTAACAGGGTCCTATCTGGGATAGGTTATATAGTCACTCTACCTATTCATGACCAAGGTTTAGATTTCTTCTAGAGCTCACTCCTCCCCACCCCTGCCTAGCTTCTCTCCCCCATAGCAGAGCCAGCTGTTATATCAGAGCTGAGATATGTTTCTCATTGGCTTGTTTATTCCTAAGATATAATCACGTACAGTGTTTTACCACTATTGGCTCAACTATGTGATCTTTGTTGGATTAACTGGTAAAAACTCTGTTCTGCCCTTTATCAGCTTTTGGGCAGAGCTCTCAACTACCACAAGCTTATGTATCCCATAAACTAATTAATATATTATTAATTAATTAATATTTATTGTTATCTTTTATGTAATATAATGTTAGTCGTATAAAATATATTAGGGTTTTTGTAGGGACCAAATGAGAAAATTTACTTAAAAGAGAGTTGATGCCCAGTAGTCAAAAATTACCTGAGGTTGCGGAATTGGGTTTATTACCTGTAATAATGAGGGATTATTATCTGTAATAATAATGTCTGTATGCTATGGGGAGCCAATGGTATCCAGTCAAAGGATTTTAGGAGAGATTGTTATAAGACTGGAACCAGAGTTAGGTGATTTGGAATGGGTTAAAGAAAATGAGAGTCTGTTCAAGGATTGAGTGCTGTCAGAAAGTAGGGGCAATTCTGGTATGGGGCATCTTAGGTTTTATCGAGCTGTTGGTGTGGGGGGTGGGGGGGCAGATGGGAGCCAGCCAAGGCTCTTATTGTAGAAGACGCAAGAGTCACTCCTAGGGGAAGATGATATTTGGTCATTTTTGTATTTGTACAGAATTCTTTTTTAAACTCTTTTAAGTCTCGTTTGTAGATTGGCTTTCGTCTTGTTCTGTCACCATTGTGGACAGTCTTCATCTGATATTAACATTCTATAAGTTGTTATGTTCACCAGGGGAACACCCAGCTTGCTGACAGCAACCAGGTGGTTAACAGCTGTCAAAGATGCTGATTCTCCATCCCCCACCGCCTTAGGTCTTAGCATTGTCAGGGAATAAAACAAAGGCCATCAAAACTTTGAAAAATATAAAGGCCATGTTCATTACTTTGCAGGCAAGGAAAAACAAAGAAGCTCAACATTTTTTTCCCTGAGTGGTTTGCTAAAGGAAGACTAAGTTTTTAAGTGCTAGAAAAGCGCAAGGTTGTTATATCATTAATAACTAAAAAATAGGGGCGCCTGGTTGGCTTAGTCGGTTAAGCGTCCGACTTTCGCTTAGGTCATGATCTCACGGTTCGTGGGTTCTAGCCCCGCATCAGGCTCTGTGCTGACTGCCAGCTCAGAGCCTGGAGCCTGTTTCAGTCTGTGACTCCCTCTCTCTGACTCTCCCCTGCTCATGCTGTCTCTCTCTCTCTCTCCTAGAAATAAATAAAAAGCATTAAAAAAAAATAACTAAAAAATAGCCACCAAGATAAATCAGAACCAATCTGTAGATCTATAAATGATAGATATTTTTAAAAATTTTTTATGTTTATTTATTTTTGACAGAGAGAGCATGAGCAGGGGAGGAACAGAGAGAGAGAAGAGACACAGAATCTGAAGTAGGCTCCAGGCTCTGAGCTGTCAGCACAGAGCCCAATGTGGGACTCGAACCCACAAACTGTGAGATCATGACCTGAGGCAAAGTCGGATACTTAACCGACTCAGCCACCTAGGCGCCCCTATAAATTATAAATTTAAAACATACCATTGTTCACTGGTCAGCAAGGAATCTTCAGCTGAGTTCAGTAAGGGCTTGGTTCAGGGTTCTTTAAAACCTGGATGCCTCTACGGGCGCCTGGGTGGCTCAGTCATTTAAGCATCCAACTTCGGCTCAGGTCATGATCTCACAGTTCGTGGGTTCGGGCCCCGCATCGGGCTCTGTGCTGACAGCTCAGAGCCTGGAGCCTGCTTCAGATTCTGTCGTCTCCCTCTCTCTCTGCTCCTCCCCCACTCACACTCTGTCTCTCTCTCAAAAATAAATAAAACATTAAAAAATAAAAAAAATAAAAAAACCCTGGATGTCTCTAACATCAACTTTAGGGACCGCCATCTGTAGAGTTACCATATGACCTAGTTTATCTGGGGAAGTCCAAGGTTATACCTGTTGTAATTTTTATAGAGATTCAATGTTGTTATCCTCTAGAAAGTATTAGGATAACTGAAAGATTTTTAACTGCATAGTGCCTAGCATGGAATAAATATTTGATATACATATGGTTGGCCATACATACATTGGCTCTAAGATGGTTTGTTTACTTTTAGAATTGTCCGTGCTAATTATACTTTATGATGCAGTTTGGGACATTGAAATTCTTACATCATTTGTAGATTTTTAGAAAAATATATGGCACAAATATATGTTGCAAATGCACCCATATACATATTGTAAACTAAAGATCATAATTTCTATCAGTCACTGAAAAAATGAAAACATTTCTGACCATATGACTTAGAATAGGCTTTCATTGCGAAAAGTAGTTCATGTGACACATACATGTTTTTCTAGGATTTCTCATTGGACATTGGCTTAAAGATGACTTTAGCCATGTCATTATGGAGCTTAGTGGTTTTTTTAGGATTCTCCTCATCTTGCTTCGTTTTTCAATGCAGTTCCCCAGTTATCATTCTGCTTCTGGAGACTGCTCACTATGTTTGAGTATAGTCCTTCCCCTCCAGACCCCATTACCCCCAAGATGCGGGTTCTGTTCCTGAGAAAGCTGGGGTGCCTCATGCTCAGCGCGGTATAAACGGAAGACCTGGAAGGCCTCCTGGTCAGATAGTACCAGGCTCTTGGCTGCTTTCCATCTGGTGATTATGTTTCTTCTTCTTATAAAATTTTCACACCTTTTACAATTCTTCTGATTTTACTACCCGAACTCCTCATATTCTATTAGCTAAACTTAATACTTCTCCCACCTCCTAAATACCTTTTTCCTCTGAAGTCACACTATGGCCAGTACTTCCCCTCAACAACCATTTCCAAAATTAATACCCAGATGCCTCCTAAGGCTCTCCCTCTGAAAGGGTATGTATTCATGATATGTCTAGTCTTGGGGGAGGATTCACAAAATGCACCCAGGTACACAGAATAACTCAATGCCTTGAAGATGTGTTATTAATAGAACGCTATATTAGGCATGTTGAGTTACGTGGTGAAATCCAAGTTTTGGAAGGATAATTGGGCTCAGAAAGATATTTATTCATTCTTTGCCTGTTAGTCCAACCTCTCCCCACCTCCCTCTCTTCCCAGTACTGAGTGTCAGGGAGGGGTGTGCACCAAAGCATTCTCAGAATCAGGCAAGGCCAAGTGTTCATATCATGTATTTAATCCTACTTGTCACACAATTACTGAATTCCCTCTCTCCTTTTTCTAACTAAATTTGAACTGCCTCAAAGGGAGGCAAGGTCAAAATGACTGATGATAAAACAAAATTCTAAGAACTCCAGAGATCCAGAATGTGCTGTCAAATTACGCTTGTGGCCACCTTGTCAGGACTTCATGGCCTCACTGGCCTGCTCACAAGAGTTGTTCTCCATGGATCTTGAGCCTGGGAAGAAATTCAGACACAAGCAGAAAATGAGACCCAACAGATACTCAACCTTCCAGCCATGAAATGATCAAACGGAAGACCAGGCCAAGGGACTCACCACCCCTCTAAGTAGGCAGATTTTTCCTCATGTGTTTTGAAAGAGTTGGCTGGTTTCCTGGCTTCTCTCTGCCCTGTGCTTTTCACGTATTTGTGTGTCTACAGTCAGACAAATAAGAAACACACATATGTGTGTCTAGTAAGGGGCACGTGTGGCATTTGCTTACATTTCAGGCAGCCCCTTTAATGACGTGACTCACGTGAGGCACGAACACCTATTTTTCCAGACTGTTGCGGCCCACAGAAAAGCTGCTGCGTTCGGTCTCCAAGGAGACTCACAGACCAGTTGCCTTGGCAATGCGTCCTGTCTGTCATTGGGTCTGATGACTTGGGCTTGCGATATTGCTGTGGCACACATTATAGATATTCATAGGAACCTTGACTGCTCACAGCTTTTCTATGGATTTATTTCCAGTTTCACAAATAGAGAATATTGGCTATAGTTATTTTAGTTTTGTGATGCTAGACTGACAGTTTGACAGTTAAAGAGACGTTTTTGAATTGGGACATTTAGTAATTATTGTTCTTACTGATGAGTCAGGTGATTGGTCAGCAACATTAACCAGAGACTGTAGCAAAGACAGTGCTTTCAGAACTTTCTCACAGTGTGGCCTGTTGGTGCCATGGCCCTTCTGTTTTGTCTTCTCCAGTCTGTTCGTTTCTACAACATCCAGAATGATTGTTCAAAAATGTAGGATAAAGTCCGGACAAGTCCTCCAAGATCTTCCTGATCTGACCCCTGCCACCTCTTGAGGCCCACCTCTTGCCAATGATATCTTCATACTCTGCTCCAACCACCACCACCCTCTCCCCCGTGTTTTGCATACACCATCTCCCCAACACAACCATGCAAGACTCCTACTTGAACTTCAGGTCTCCATGAAGATACCGCTTCCTTTAGAAATTCTTTCTGGATCTTTCTAAAGATTAGATGCTACTCCTGTATGCTCTCATAGAACCTTATGTTCAATCATTCATTTGTAGCACTTCTTCCACAATGCTTTACCTTCTTCTTTACTTGGCTCTCTAGTCCCTAAAGAATGAAGCATATGCTGTTTCTGGTGAACGCTGTCTTGCTCAGAAGTGAAGGGAAGGGGCGCCTGGGTGGCGCAGTCAGTTGAGTGTCTGACTTCAGCTCAGGTCATGATCTCGCGGTTCGTAGGTTCGAGCCCCACGTCAGGCCCTGTGCTGACTCAGCTCAGAGCCTGGAGCCTGCTTCAGATTCTGTGTCTCCCTCTCTCTCTGACCCTCCCCTGCTCACGCTGTCTCTCTTTCTCTCTCTCAGAAATAAATAAAACATTTTTTTAAAAAGTTACATTCTTTAAAAAAAAAAAAAAAGTATAGGGAAGCATGTGGGTGTAGGAGCATAGAAACATGAAGTCCTGACCTGGCCCCAAATGGCTGAGTATGTCTTGCCTTTCTTACTCTTCCTCCAACCACCGCATTCCGCTTGGCAAATAGTAATAATTTTTGTGGAAACTCAGCCTTTACTCATCTCTTCTTCCCCCCTTAGAGAGTGTGGTAGAGTACATCCACATATGAGCGGGATTCCTTTCTTCAGAATAATGGCATTATCTGAATCATTGCACAGCTCTCTCTGGACAAGGAGATGGTCAGAGAGTCTGAGGCACCAAACTTTTTCTCTGAAAGGCCACATACTGCCTCTGTTCACTGTTCATCTCTGTTCTTGTTTTATAACCTTTCTAAGTGTAAAAGTCATTTTTAGTTCATGAGGCCATGGGCAGGATTTTGCCTTTGGGCTATAGCTTTCCAGCCAGCTTGATATCAGTTTTACAGAGACCTATCGCCAAGGTATCTGACACAACGCTTAAACGAGGGACCCATGGGCCCCTCTCTTGCAACCCTTCATCTTGGATCTGTGCAACTTTTCTCCATTTGGCCGCTGTGTGTATCCAACCTTCTAGACTTTGGGGCTGGTGTCAACTTTTCTTCTCTTCCTTCCTGTCTCACATTTCTAGACTGCCTGTCCCTGGTCTTGCCTTTCCCTGCCTGGGAAGTTATTTGAACTGAGGACATGAAGCTTCTTTTTGGCATTTATTTACCTTAAGTTATAAGAAAAGAGACACAACCAATGATTTTTCAAAGCAAGTTCCTTCTTTTTTTCTGACCATTCCATTCCATACAGGATTCCTGATAAATTCTCTTAAAAGTATTATATGTCTGTAGTAAATACATGCTTGAACATGAAATTCTTCTTTACGTCACTTAACACCCACCTGGAGATAATACATTCTGGTGGGACAGGCAGAAAATTTAGTCTGGCTATAAGAATGTGCATCCCATAAAATAGTCTGTTGTTGTTGTTGTTTTTAATCTGTCTCTATGGAGCAGTCTCATAATAACAGAGAAAAATAATTTGTCCTTTGAAAAACCATATTGCCTTCAAAAATTAAATTTAAATATAAGTTAGCAAAGCGTTGACCACTTTAAAGATAATGTGGTTACTGGTCTTTTGAAAGGCTTAGGCAATTGGACACATTAAGAATTAACATTGGGGCACCTGGGTGGCTCAGTCGGTTAGGCATCCAACTTTGGTTCAGGTCATAATGTCGCAGTTCATGAATTCAGGCCCTGTATTGGGCACTGTGCTGACAGCTTGGAGCCTGGAGTTTACTTTGAATTCTGTGTCTCCCTCTCTCTAACCCTCCCCCACTCGCTTGTTCTCTCTCTCTCTCTCTCAAAAATAAATAGTAAATAAATGTTAAGAAAGCTTTTTAAAAGAATTAACATTTCTGGAATAAACTGTGAAATTTCATTGATAATAATATATCAGTGATTGTTCTTTAATGATAGCTAATGTGCCACACTAATGTAAAATGTTAACAGGATGAACCATGTGCAGGAGTGGGTAGAACACACTAAGTCTGTTCCATGCTCAGTTTTTCTATAAATCTAAAACTGTTCTAAAAAGCAAAGTCTGTTAATTTTTTAAAAAATCACCCAATCTGTATCCGTTTGTCAGGGCTGCCATAACAAAGTGCCACAGACTAGGTGGCCTAAATAACAGAAATGTGTTACCTCCAGTTCTGGAGCCTGGACATCCAAGGTCAGAATGTCACCTTAGCGCTGCAGGGAGGGATCCGCTCACACCTCTCTCCTTGGTTTGCAGATGGCCATCTTCTCCTTATGTCTCTCCTGTTGTCCTCCCTCTGTGCATGTCTCTGTGTCCAATTCCCCCCCCCATTTTATAGGGACCCCAGTCTTCATGGGTTAGGACCCACCCAAATGATCTCCCTTTACCTTGAGTACCTACGTAAAAGAGCCCATCTCCACTAAAGTCACATTCTGATGTATCTGGGGTTTGGACTTCAACGTGTGAATCTGGGCAGGGATACAATTCAACCCATCCAACCCACCCTCCCCCCAAAATGAAGACTTCTCTGATGCCTGCCATCTTTCCAAGTGTTTCCCACGCATCACCTTTTCAATTTTGCGCTTACAACGCATGCGCATGTGTGCTGGTTTTGTTCTTCTGCAGTGACCAGCAGCAGCTGCAGCTCCTGTACTCTGAGTGCATCCTGTCCGTGCTCAGCAGCTCCTCCTCCTCCATGCGCCTGCACAGAGGCTTCACAGACCTGATCTGGTGAGCACCTGTCCTCACGCCCCCAACCCCAAACCGAGCAGGGCGCCTCCCATGGCATCCATGACCTGGTCATTTCATTTGTGTGCACCTGCTTTAGAAAGCAGGGAGATTGTTTTGCTTGCATGCACTAGACCAAAATAGAGAGAAGCTTACGATTTTTTTTAACAAAATAGGCCTCCAAGGCCCTCTTGCATTTTGTCGACATAGGATCGTGAGACTCAGGAGAGAAGGGATTGTTTTCTAGGTTATTGGTCTATCCTAAAAGTATACGAAGGCACCAGAAAATTGAACGGATGGTACAGAGCTATTGAATGTTATTCTTAGACCTTCCATGGTACATTCTCCATCTCAACATGCAGGCGAGTCCCTTAATTATAGGCAGAGATGCATGCAAGTGACAAAGCCCGCAGGCAGCCAGCTAGCTGCTGTAGGGTCAAGGGCTTTTCCACAGGGAGGAAGCCGAATGATATGTGACAGTACAATGTGTCAGAGTTTCAAATCAGCTTCTCCAATTAGAAGTAGAAATAATTTTGTTACTTATAGTAAATTGAAACACTCTAACGAAGCCATCTACCATTTTGAGTCTGTTTCTTTATGTAAGACGGTTTCTTAATACTTCTCGTGATACTTTCTTTAGTCAGCTCTGCCTTGAGTTCTGAGAAAAAGTCTTCTGTTCATATACCTAGAAGTGATGGAGAGACGTGGAAAACTGAGGCAGGACATAGCCAAAAAGAGCAGCAGTAAAGAACTCAACTCTTGCTAGTCATTTTTGTCGCATCAGGCCAATAGTCACATTTTATCATTCCAGCTTGTCGCAAAACAGATGTTTTCCTCCTGTGTCTTCCCAGGAAAAACCTTTGCCCTGCTCTCATCGTGATCCTGGGGAATCCAATCCATGACAAAACCATCACCTCTGCTCACAGCAGCAGCGCCGGGACCAGCGTCGAGTCAGACTCTGCATCTCCGGGAATTTCTGACCATGGCCGGGGGTCAGGCTGCTCCTCCACGGCACCAGCCCTGAGTGGGCCGGTGGCTCGGACCATTTATTACATCGCGGCTGAGCTGGTCCGGCTGGTGGGGTCGGTGGACTCCATGAAGCCTGTGCTCCAGTCCCTGTATCACCGGGTGCTGCTTTATCCGCCACCCCAGCACCGGGTGGAAGCCATCAAAATCATGAAAGAGGTAGGGAGGCCCTGAAGGACGCCACCATGCTTGCCAGATGGCAGAGGGCGTTATCTGCACATTCCGTCTTGCATACAGGAGGCACTCAGAAAATGTTTGCCAGGCACCTGCTAAAACTTGTTACTATGTGGTATCCAGTAACAGGCAGTATCTTTAGGGTGGAGGCGTGTATCCCATGTGTTGGGAGCCTGGGTAAGGAGGGGTTGATGGGTGCTCACCAATGCAGAGCCACTGATGATTTAAGCTGCAGGTATCTGACCCGGCCCCAGACTGATTTCATTTTGTTCCGTTAGGTACTGTTAGTGCAGCTATGTGTGTTTATTCCCCTTTGCCAAAATTGGATTTCCAAGTGATTTTATACTTATGCTGTACATCATCCAAAAGGAAAAAAAATCATTACTAATCTCTAACTAGAAAAAGGAATCCCTTTGCCTCATTCCTTCTTAGGCCTCATAACCCAAACATCATGACCCCTGTGAGAAGGTAAAGATTGTCCAGCTTGTAACAGCCATCCCAGTGTTCTCCTTCATGGTTTTGGGGAGGAATGAGGGTTATTTTGGAAGTACTTCAAATAAGAATTTCTCTGCTATCTCTCAAATAACCAAAAAGAAAAGAGATCAGCATTTTTGTATTTGTGAACTTGTTCATTTGCCATTGTTTTTGATACCTATACCAAAACAACAACAAGCCCAGAGTAGCAAAATTCCCTTGTTGCGGATTAATTTATTTAAAGTAATATTTGCACTCATCAATTTCTCAAAAGCTAAATTTAAAATGCCTCTTGGTGTTGCTTTAACAAAATTTGACTGTAATGAAATTTGGAAAGTTCTGACTCAACATTTCTAGAAATGAAGGAGTGATTCAGATCTAATTGTGGTTAAGAAAGTCTATGAGCACACAGTAATAACCTTTTTATCCTTACCTTCTCTGTGCCTAGCACTTCACGTATATTATCTTTAATATTCTTAATAGCTCTTTTAGGTTGTATATCAACTTTTACTAGCGAAAATTGTTATTTCTTTTCTTTATCACAGCTACAGACAGTGCAAACAAAGGGTCTGCTTTAATACCTGCTCAGTCCCAGGTTGGCGAACACAATACAGCTTTGGAGGCAAGTGAGACTAGACTAGTTTCTCACCACCCAGCTCCCTTGGGGACCCAACCCTGCCCTTGTTAAGTTCATAAACAGGGGAGCGGAATGGGCTTTCTCTGAATAGGCAGATCTTCAAGGAGAAGAAAGAGGAAGAGACTAGCTACTCATGCTCAGCTTCCCGTACATGCAACAGTGAGATCAGACTCCCCCTTCCATCAGCAGGAAGTGAGAGAGAGACGAGGGAGGGCCAGAATTTTATTCCACTGAATGTTCTCCTTGTAGAGATATGATGCCAGGAAAAATGAATTTTCCCTCCCACAGAGAAACTGAGGCTTCAGAGGGTCAAATGACTTGCCCAAGGTCACACAGAAGGAGAAAGAGCATACACCCTGTTCTGTCCTGAAACCCATGGTCTTATCCTACAACACACTTATTATCATACTTGACTTTGATACTGAAATGCCAATGATTCCAGGAGCCCCCGTTCCCCTGCTGGCTCAGCTACCCTCTTCTTTCCTAAGCCTAAGAGACAGAGTTTGGATCCTCTCTCTGCCACTCCCCAGCTAGGTTATAGTAGCTGAAGCATTTAACTCTCTGAACCTACAGTTTTGTATCTGTACATAGCAGTAATATTCTAAAGGTTCAAAATGCAATACAGTTGGCATACGTACTCTGTAAGCATAAAGGGCTAGACAAGTATTTGGCAGGCTTATTGCCATCCCAAGGAAGGGAAAACATACGTAGGGGCTGGAACTAGCTCGTCCTCATGACCTCCCGCCTAGACTAGGGCTCCAATTCTAGCTCTGCTCCTTGTCAGCTGCCTCTCTGTTTTCATCCTTTTGTCTTTCTGGACTTAGACTTATAAGTCACCACTGTTAACAGTATTTTCTTTTTAAGGCTCTCATGGCTCCTGTTCCTCTCCCGTCAAATCTGAATTACTCTGCCCAGTTTATAGACCCTTCTCTCATCATTCTCATTTCCCATCATCACCCTCATCCCATCTGACTGGCCTTGCTCTGTTTAGCTCCCAGGCTCCTACTTCTATTCAGGCTCCTTGCCTCTCTCCCTATGGGCCATTCTACTTACCAGAGTCAAGCAGGTGATTGAAATGCACTAGGCCCAGCTGGCACTTCAAGTTAGTTTTTTTTTTACAAACTCTCTTAGGAAGGTAATATTACTCCCAGTTTCTAGATGGGGAAGCTAGGGCTCCATGAGTAGAAGTTACTCGCCCAAAGTCCTTATGAGTAGCAGGGCTGCCACATGAACCACGATGCTCAAAGAACATCTGTCTCTGCTGTCAGAATCCCCCTCCTTCACACTTCTGCCTCCCCAAACCACTACTTTTGTTCCTCTTTAAATTCCATCATTTAGCAATTAATCATAGGTCCCATCCCACTGAATGTTTCACGGTATTATGTAGTACAAACTTCTACTCAAATACATTTTTGTACACCTTGCTTCCGTATTTGCCCTCTCCCCACCCCTAACCTGGTATCTAACACTGCAGTGCCTGAATCAGAGTAAGTGCTCAGTAAGTTTTGACTGAATGACAGATGGCCCTGACGGCAGAATATCGTCAAAGATGATGTTTTGTAAGCAGCAGGAACCTTTCTTTCCCTCTCAGAGTTGACTGGCACTGGGGGTGTGGCTGCTTATAGTGGATCCACTTGGTGCATGAGTGCTAAGTAAATACATTTCATACAGGGTATGAAGGTGTCTAAATGTATTTTGAATAATAATTTCTTTACGACTACGGAGGAAATGTATTATGTCTTCCTCTTCTCGTAGATTTTCTAGCTTCCCAAGATTATCTTACAGGGCAAGGCTGGAATTAGACACCAGCACCAGAGTAGTGTGTCCAGACAGTGCTGCCCCATGGAGCAGAGCAGACTGACATGAGCCAGGTTATTGTGACAAGTGGGGCCTCCACTTGTTATGGCAACTAATCATTGGGGAAGGTTGGTAACCTGGAAACCAAAATGTGCAGTCTGTGCACACAAAGAAAACCACTGGGCATCCAGAATGTTTGTTTAGCCTATCAGAGTTTGAACACTTGGGGTGTTATTTCCCTGTTCTCTTTGTAATTTGTCACTCTGCCATATGCGCTGTGTGCCCATTAATCAAAGACAGGACATTTTGTTCTTTGAAGTACATTCTCTTTTCTGTTTCCACTTGCCCAAAAAATGAACAACAAACAATAGTACACCTTGCTTCCTTTTCTCTCTCTCATGGTTGGGCTTCAGAAAGACTTCCCTAATCTTTAATCAGACCTTTGACACCCCAAACACAGATACCACATCCCTCATTCCCACCGGAAGAAGCTGGGATTAAATATGCCTTGTCTTTCTTCAAGTAGTTGTTGAGGGTTCTTCCGAAGTGTAGTCACTCAGTGCCCTTCCCTCCCTATTTGGCAACAATTGAGAAATAAACACAAGATTAGTGTGGGAATTAAATATGTCATCTAATTTATTACTGGTAAGGTTAGATTCAAGAATGTAATAAGATCCCCAAGAAAAGTGAAGTTCCCCACAGCCATGCCTCTGAAATGCACTTACCCTTCTAGCAAGGGATGGGACAGCTAGAGGCACGTAGACTCAGTCAGCTTCACTTGGATGCAGGCCTGGCAGGCAGCATGAGAATGAGTAGGGGTGTGAGGGAGAAGAGGGAGGAGGTAGGACAGGGGGGAGAGAAAGGAAAAACGGGAGAGGAAAGGGAGGGAGAGGGGTGAGGGAGACTTGACACTTTCAATGTCAAAAAATATAAGAGGCGCCTGGGTGGCTCAGTTTAGTGTCAGACTTCAGCTCAGGTCATGATATCATAGCTCGGGTCCTGGGTTTGAGTCCTGCGTTTGAGTCCTGCGTTGGGCTCTGTGCTGACATCTCAGAGCTTGGAGTCTGCTTCAGATTCTGTGTCTCCCTCTCTCTCTCTGCCCCTCCCCCACTGGTTCTTTGACTCTATCTCAAAAATAAACATTAAAATAATTCAAAAAGATAAAATGTGGAGAGTCGATACTGCCCAAAACAATCTACATATTCAGTCCAATGCCTATTAAAATAACACCAGCATTCTTCACGGAGCTAGAACAAACAATCCTAAACTTTATATGGAACCAGAAAAGACCCTGACTAGCCAAAGTAATCCTGAGAGAGAAAACCAAAGATGGAAGCATCATAATTCTGGACTTCAAATTGTATTACAAACTGTAATCATCAAGGCAGTATGTACTGGCACAAAAACAGGCACCAGATCAATGGAACTCAAGCAGTGACAGATGTTGTTGAGGATGCAGAGAAAGGATACAGACTCCTTCTGCACTGCTGGTGGGAACGCAAACTGGTGCAGACAGTTCTCCACTCTGGAAAACAGTATGGAGGCTCCTCAAAAAATTAAAGATAGAACTACCCTGGGACCCAGCAATTGCACTATCAGATGTTTATCCAAAGGATACAAAAATGCTGATTCAGAGGGGCACATGCACCCCAATGTTTATAGCAGCACTATCAACAATAGCCAAAGTATGGAAAGAGTCCAAACATCCATTGACTGATGAGTGGATAAAGAGGATGTGGTATATATATTTAATGGAATATTACTCGGTGATCAAAAAGAATGAAATCCTGCCATTTGCGGCAATGTGGGTGGAACTAGAGTTTTATTATGCTAAGCAAAACAAGTCAGTCAGAGAAAGACAAATATCATATTATTTCATTCATATGTGGGATTTAAGATACAAAACAGATTAACATAAGGCAAGGTAAGCAAAAATAATACAAAGAGAGGGAGACAAACCATCAGAGACTCTTAAATAGAGAGAACAAACTGAGGGTTGCTGGTAGGTGTTGGGTTAGGGAAAAGGCTAAATGGGCAAGGGGCACTAAGGAAGACACTGGTTGGGTGAGCACTGGGT